TTAGTATAAAACATTTATACGAATTTGTAAGCTTTGACAATAGTCTACAGTAACGTTGGTTCATTGAATATTTCTATTGTTACGTTGTAATTGCGCGCGTCTCCTAAAACATTTATACGAATTTGTAAGCTTTGACAATACATGATATATAAGGTCATGTCGATCAAGCATATGTTGGTTATTTTTTTGACAGGCAAGACAATTTAAAGTAAACAAAACCTTGTGAAAATGAGTTTTCAAGTTCATTTTTAATTTACCTTGGAGGAGCACGCTTGGTTTACATAGAGTGCCCCGGTTAAAACTACAGCTTTTCACAGTGTGGTGGATGTGCAATGAAATGAATGATAGTAAATGCCAGAATTCACTTTTAAAGGAAGTTATCCAGAATTATGATTCTCTTACGAAGCCATTAATTGTCAATGCATTCTTCAATGCGGTTTTGTCCATCTCAGCAACACTTGGAAATGGGTTGATTATCGTCGCCATATTGAGATCCCAGAACCTCCAAACACCGTCTTACCTACTGATAACAAGTTTGGCGTTCACAGATCTTCTGATTGGATTGATTTATCATCCGTATTTTGTTATGCACAACATTCTTTTCCTAAATGGGAAATTGGAAGTTTTGTGTGAATTCAATGTGTTTTTGGGTGCTGCTTCCATTGTAATTTCTTTTCTTGCTTATATTTCACTACTTATGAATGCGTTCATTAGCATCGACAGATATCTAGCGCTGAGTCTAAAACARCGATACAGAATTCACGTCACGAAAAAGCGAGTTCGCATCGCTATTGTATTTGGATGGCTTGGAACTGCTTTCTTTGYTATAACAATAATGAATTTTGATTTTGTGAAAGACAAAATTTATTTTGTTGCGTTTTCTGCGGTTGAACTTCCAATCCTTATTATTCCTATTGCAATGTATTCAATGTCGTTTGTGAGCCTTCATCGTTATTCGTCACAAGTTCAGACCCAGCAACCCAACTCAAGACATGGAAGCTTTGATGTTGTGAAATACAGAAAAACTCTGAAGACGATGGTCGCCATTTTGGGATGTTTTTTGTTCAGCTCCGCTGCTCTAGTCGCTGCACCCATCATTCAGTTGTTCATTGGACACAATAATGTTACCATATTATTTATTTTTGCTTTATATACAATATTTGGTGCTTGTTCCAGTATTAATCCAGTTATTTATTTGACGAGATTTAATGATATCTGGCAAGAATGTAAGATTCTTTTCAAGATGTGCTGTTGATAAATTTGATATTTGGGACAAATAGCATTTTTATTATGTTTTGATGCCGGTTTAATTATTATCAGTTCATGAACCATTTCCCTTTGAGTGTACGTCGGTCATCATATTTATTAATTCTTATATGTTTATTGTTTATCATGTTCATTATTAAAAATGTGAGCAACATAATCACCTGCCGTCTTTGGACTTAAATATATTAAAAAAATATATATTAAAAATATATTATATAAAAAATATATTAAATGTCTGACAATAGTTTTTTTTTTGCTTTTTGGCTTTCATATGATGATGTCCTATTTGGCTTTGATCTTTCATTCCATCCTTCATATTTTTACTGTTAATTTCAATGAATTCTAAAAATTAGAGACTCCAAAACTGTGATGATCCCTTGCCGTTTTTGGCTTTTTCTACAAAAATCATGATATTTTGTTTCCTCTCCATATTTTCCTTTTCATTTTTGTTTGTTAGTTGTAATTTGATCTTCTTGTTCTTGTTATTTTTGTTTCTTCATTTTATATACAACTCTCACATTTTGACTTTTTCGAGATCCTTTTAGCTTTTGCCTTTCATCTGTTTCAGCAGTTGGCAGTTGTGATAGGTTACGCGTTGAAAAGAAAAGTGAGGATTTTCAGCACGAG